TCCCGCCTTACCACCGCCGCCTCCTACTAAGACCGATTCAAGGCTCAAACATGACCTACCTGGTTCGACCATGGCACAAGTACTCAAGGACGGTCTTCATGAAGTCTGCTCTAAATGATTTGATTGAATTGGCCGATTGGCACAATGCTGGCACCAGAGCTGGCATCAGTGGTAGTACGAGGTGGCTGGATTTTTGCGTCATCAGCAACGCGGCGAAGTCTGGGATATTCAGCACAGGAATTTCTCGAGACTCGTGGATTCAAGAGGCTGGAGGGGCCTTATGTCAGAAAACTTCAATAGGTATACATTAATTGTTTGGTTTCGTATTTATGAAAAATAAACTGAAAGTATATAATTCAAATTTATATTAAGAGATCTATTATTTAAATTTTGTATGATGAGTTGTTACATATTTTATTATAATTTTGATAAGTAGGATATGTGAATTATATATAAGTGGTTAAATTTTTTTCTAATTTTAAAATATTTATTTTTATTTATTATTATTCCTAGAAAACTATAAAAATGAATCTAATCTCTAATAGATATTTAAATACCAACTTCAATTTTCAATCTGACAACTAATCTCAGTAAATAATTGATCTGATAATAAAAGATGTGCCACTCTATCTTATCCGTTTGACAAGGACTTAGTATTTACACAATGTGATTTAGTCTTGCACTGTACACTTGTAATTAGTTTGGCTTATCAAATTGTAAATTGTCAAGTTCAGAGGGGAATGTGACTTCGGACTTTGGAGAGTGCTTTGTTTTCTCCTACGTCGACTGGTTTTAGGTTTGATTCGTCGCTGGATACCGCGAATGGACTTTATTATACGTTTTTCCCCTTTCGTACATGACAGTGATTCAGTTGAAGAAGGGTAAAACCAAGGAAATATATAAATTTTGTATGTTCCATTAAAAGTGGAAATTTTCATAAAAGCTGATTTTTTTAATTAATTTCACATGTTTGACTACTGATAAACTATAGCTCATTTAAAAATTAATTCAAGCTCATAGATTATAGAGGGAAAAAAATTCTCATGTATTACTTGATTTTTTATTCATAATTTTTTTAATTTCTAAAATTTTAAACAAATAAACATTAAGACTTAAATAAAATCTTTAGCCTGACTTTTTTTTAATATTATGAAAAAACCGTGCATCACTGTTCTATTTAAAAGCTTAAATTTGTTAAAAAGTATAACTTAATTATTTATTAACAATTATCATAGAAAACAATACAAAAATTACAATTTTTAGAATTTTCGATTGTCATAACTTACCCAATTCCCAATTTTTTTTTCTCTCCCATTGTATTATAAAAAAAAATTGGACTTAGACAAAAAATATCTTTTTTTTTTCTTTTTGCACTCTACTTAACAAAAACCCCATCTTTTAGGCCTTGTGGGTTGTTTTTTTGTCTTTGTATAATTTTTTTTATAAGCTTCAACCAAAACAATCTAAAAAAAATACACACAATAATTTTCATGTGTATACCACACAAATGGGTTGTGTATACCACCTTGAGCATGAGGTGATATATATATATATATATATATATAGAGAGAGAGAGAGAGAGAGAGAGGAAAATATATGTAACCTCTGAAAAAATGAACTTGTGCATTAGAATTGGAGGCCAGTAGAAAATCACTTTCAGAAGGGATGAGATGACTCCATCCAGCAGATCATTTTCTTGCCAGTGCATCAGACAAGAAGCATGATCATCATAACCCCCCTTGCACGGCCATCCTCCAACCTTAAAATGGTCTTGACGAATTCAATTTTTGTGGTCGACGTTGATCCCATTGTTGTCAGACCATTAACTGAGTTTGGTCAATCATTTCTCCAGCTGTTTCATGGGAGCATAACCCTTCTGGGTTTCTGCAAAAACTCTCGAGAGGTATTAAAAATAAATAAATAATTTTTGTTTAAATATTTGAAAGATATCAAAAACTTGATATTTTATTTAAATTTTTTAAATAATTATTTTTTAATTTACTAATATAGTTTAATTCCTCTTACATTCTGTAATGTCCCAAATTTTTGTAGTTTATTAGGAAATTTAAAAACACGAAAACTTAATTAAATGAATTAGGACATTTCGGGAATTAATTTAAAGAAGAAGGCACAACTGCACAGTGTTAAAGTTATTGGGGCCAAAACAAAAATAATAGGACTAGACAGGGGTCAAATTGAACAGAATCAGAACAAAGAGAGCAAATCAAAAATATCATAAAACTGGATGTCCACCTTGTATCTCTGAATCTCACGCAGCCATTGAAACTGATTACGAGCATGTCAAAGCAAATTTGCCCCATTATGGTCATATTGAGAGTCGACTGAAGTATAAATGTCATAATCTCAAATCAATTTGAACGATTGATACCTCAAACCGTGGAAATTTGGCCCTTTCTACTCTTTACCCGCAGCCCTAGGACCAAGAGATGCATATATACACCGACATGGTTTATGCTTGTCAAGATTAATGTATATATTTATTTTTTGCATTTATATAAAAAAAGGACCTGTTGAATCTGTGCTTATCAGTCAACACGTTAATTTTATTTTAGATCAATTCCCAAGGAAATTTGCTCCCGTAACAAAAGTCAAATTTACTATGAGAGCAACAAGAACAGTAAGGAAGATAATAAAATTTTAAATTCTCAGGTCACTTCACACCTTATAACTTATTTTTTATTTGACCTCCTGATCAGCTGTCTCCGACGGCGGTTTCATCGCCCGCGCTATGGCTTTCCAGAACACGGCCGGGCCTCCAACACCAGGCTGTGGCGCTGCGCTCTGGCTCCGACTTTCCATCTTCTACAAGTACTATTTTTTTTTTTTAATCAGATCTTAATAACTATCCTCGTAAATTAGAGGATGAGAAAAGATGTTCCGGATAGAAAAGATGTACTACGAGGAGTACATGAGCACTTGCGCCGGAGCCGGCACCGGCGACAGGGTAAAGTGGTCGGGATTCCATGCCACCACGAGCCCGATAGAGGCCAGGAAGTTCACGTGGCGGAATTTTTTGGCCAGAGGGTCGTGGATTGAGGCAGTCGGAGTGCCCTACACTACAGGGCTGTGAGTGGTTGTTAACTCTGTCAACTGTCGAGAGGGGAAAGTGACTTCGAAGTAATAGCAAATTTATTTTTATGGTTTAAGTAGAAAAAGATACCATAGATGGATTGTGTTAGAAGTTTGAGACTGTAACCGTATTGAAAGTCTAATTGCGAAGGAAATGTATACGTATATTTTTATGTTTCTACAAATATTCGTTTAAAAAATAAAAATAAACTGAATTGTGTTTAGTTTGATTTCAAGAAAAATTAGTTAAATTTTGAAAATATATATATATATATAATTTTTTAAAAGAAATTTATTGGAAGGATTATTAAAAAAATTAAAATCAGAAATTGAACATTTTTTATAATCCTATATAATCAAACGATAAAATTTGTTTTATTTAATTTTATTTTAAAATTTTGCATATTCTAAAACATATAATTAAAACAAATATACATATATTTAGTTTCAAAGCGCATAAAATTGAAGTTTTGAAAGGGAAAAGCTTAACACGAAAGGACTTTTGGAAAGTGTCCAAATGACTGATAGATCATTTTAATGCCAGCCATGGGATTGATATCTGAGCTGCCTTGATCATCACCACCACAAGGACCGTAAGTTTTGAGTTCAATTTTGTGGTTAAGGTTGATTCGCAAGTGGCGATGATATTAGATAGAGACCACGTAGTCAGTGCATGTGGTCGGTGAGACGAAAAATCCAGCATGCTTCATTTGAATGAAGGCTCACAAAAAGGTCCTTTTCTCCCTCGATTGGTCTCTTAGATATGTAAATTAAACTTTAATTCATAATTTTTTAAACTAATCTAGTCCAACCCGCATTCACGTTAGGGGGCTTAAATCTAATTCAACCTATATTAATTTGTTCTTTTTAAATTGATCAAATAATTTACATGGTTTAAGTTGAATTTAAACAAGTTAGATTGAATTTAGACATATTAAAGCCCAATTAAATTTGCCCATATATTGCATCTTAATTTCTCTAATGGACCTGCTTAATTTATTGTCGGTATCAAATTTGTGGGGCATTTTTGAGCCAAATATTCTTTATATTCTATCAGAGAGAGAGAGAGAGAGGGAGAGAGATGCCATAATCAATTATACCCTGTAGAGTGATCTGGGCCTTAAGTCTCGTTTGGAATTAAGAAAATGAGAGGGACCATTATAGAAAAAGATAGTTATAAAATGAAATTATAAAACATTACAATTAACAAAATAATTAACAAAAAACTCAGAAAGGGATATAGAAAAGGCTATAGAAAGGTTTTTTTTACATTTTGCTCGTGGAAACAAAATCAATACCAAAAAATAGCTAAATAAATTCTGAGCTTCCGCTTGGATAAGCTACTTAATATTGTTATTGTCTTTGCCTTTCTGAGTTTTTATGGGCATGGTGCCACAGCATCACCTTGGAGCCAAACTCCATGCCTTGACCCACCGAATTCTCAAATTGAAACTAAGCCGCAAGGAAACACAGATAAAACCCGGTTCACAATCCATAAGCAAAGTACCATCTAAAGCTTTTTTCACTCCATTTAAAAAAAAAAAAAAGAAAGTCAGTGAGAAATTCAAAGGAGCAAGTCGTCTCCATTTGCAGACTTAGATTGGATGAGTTGGGAAGGTCTCTTTCTTCATCTTTCATGCAATAAATTTATCGTATTAGTTACTTGAAAAATAAACCTTCTTTCAGCTCAGATTTTTCATTACTCATAGCAAAAGGCCTGTCAAAGCAGTGTGCTTATCTGGCTTTCACTCATGAGACAGCTAGCACATCCTCTCCTTCATTACGATTTGTATTGCCTATTCATCGGGGGGACGGTCTTCATGAAATCCACTCTAACGATCTGATCGAACCGGCCGATTGGCAGCCATGGAACTTTGGTCTTAGCACGCTATATTACTAGAAGTACATGAATGCCGGCGCCGGAGCGGGCGCAGCGGCAGTGTCAGATGGCCAGATTTCCACGTCATCACCCGCGCGGCGGAGACCGGATGTTCACTGTGGGGGTATTTCTTGGCCAAAAACTTGTGGATTCAAGAGGCCGGGGGGCCCTACAATTCCAGGGCGGTGACCGTAGTTGGGTTGATGGTTTGTCAACTGTCAACTTGAGAGGGCGAAGTGACTTTGGACTTTGAATACTCATGTTTTCTCGTATGTGGACTGGTTTTTGGGTTTGACTTGTGGATACCACGGATGGACTGTATTATAAGTTAAACCAAGTGTAAAACCCAAGGAAAGGTATAAATTTGTATTCTGCTAAAGTTGAAAATGCTGTAAAAGCTATTTTTTTAAAATTAATTTCACATGTTTGATCACTGATAAACTATAGCTCATTTAAAAATTAATTCAAGCTCATATATTACAGGGGGAAGAATTTGCTTGTGCTACTAGATTTTTTTATTCGTAACACTTAATTTCTACAAATTTTAAACAAATAAACATTGAGACTTAAATAAAAAAAATCTTTAACTTGACCTTTTTAATATTACGAAAATTATTTATTGGTATCTTATTTAAAAGTTCAAACTTGTTAAAAAATTATAATCTAATTATTTATTTCTTAACAATTATTGTAGAAAACAATACAAAGAAATACATTTTTTTTTAAGATTTTCAATTCTCATAACTTACCTAAGTTCAATTTTTCCCTCTCCCACTTTATAATTAAAAAATAAAGAATCAACTTGACAAAAAAATCTTTTTTTTTTTTTTTTTTTTTTTGCATTCTACTCTCAACGAAAACCCCATTCTTAGGCCTTGTGGGGTTGTTTTTCGTCTTTATATAATTTCTTTTTTTATGCTTCAACCAAACAACTAAAAAAAATACATACACCAATGGGCATGTATACCACACAAATGGGTTATATATATGTCCACATATTCATAGGAAAATATATGCTCTAACATCTGAAAATTTGAATTTGGTGCATTGAGAATTAGAGGGCAGTAGAAAATCACGTTCAGAAAGGATGATGTGACTCCAACTAGCAGATCATTTTCATGCCAATGCATCAGACAGACGACTGAACGAGCATCATCATGACCGCCCTTGCACGTCCATCCTCTAACCTCAAAAAGGTCTTGATGAATTCAATTTTAGTGGTCGAGGTTGATCCCATTGTTGTCACACCATTAACTTTGAACGAGAGGAGTTTGGCCAAGCACTCCTCCTCTGTTTCATGGGAGCCTAACCCTTTTGGGTTTCTTCTACAACTCTCCAGAGGTATAAAAAATGAATAAATAATTTTTGTTAGAATAATTTGAAATATATCAAAAAACCTAAAAAAGCCTAACATTTTATTTATAATTTCTCTGTAATTATTTTTTAAAATTTTATTTTTTTAATTTACTAATATAGTTTAATTTCCCGCATTTACCTTTACATGCGGTGAAGGTGAAAATCAAAGACATCATTAATTACAGCAAACCCCACAAAAAGGTTGTTTTTTTACTTAATTGGTCAATTTCTTAAATTTTTTAAAATTGCACTCTCATTTCTAGGCAGACTCGGGATTCATCTCATTATTAATTGTGCGCAGAGGAATGATCAATTGACACCTGTACTTACACCACATCTCACACCGTTGATTTGGTCAAAATCAACGGTGTGAGATGTGGTGTAAGTGTCTTGCACTTATACCAGATGTCAATTGATCATTCCTCTTGTGCGGGACATTCTTCAACCAATATTCCTCCTCAGTCCATTCTAAAGAGAGGGAGAGTCAGGTGATGTATTGACAGAATCGAAAGTTGGGGGGACTCACTTGTGCTAAGCACTTTTTGATTAACTCAGTAAAATAAGTAATTAATTATTTGAAATAGTAATATTTAAAATTCTAAATAAAATTGTAACAACCCAAAATTTTAGATTTTTATTAGTTCAAGGAATAATCTGTAGGAGTTAAAATGTCTGGGCTGGAGTGAAAATTAATCGATAACTGTTCTGTGATTATCACGAGATCCAGGGACCAAATCTGCAAATTGCAGAAATCTGGCATGAATAGTGGCCGAATGATGGGTTTTCACCAAATCGGCCACGTTGAGTGATGATTGCGAGCAGCTTTTGGCATGTTTCGGTGTGTTTTTGAGGGAGAAGTCGAACCCCTCGATCAATTAGAGATTTGGTGTGAGAGAGAGAAGAAATTTTTTAGTTTTTCTTACCGGCGAACGGACGGGGGACGAGTGGCTTCTCTGAGCTTTTGGCCGACTTTTCGGTGGCTTTTCTTCAGCTTGAGGATCGGCTGGTTCGGGATTAGCCTTTGGGGGTGCCGATCGATTCAGGTGAGTGAGGTCTTGGCTGGATTTCCAGTTTTGTTTTCTGGTTTGCCGGTTGCAGGCGTCGACCCTGCAACCGGGTTGAAGGCCTAGGCAATCAGGCGGAAGGGACAGACCCGGAAGGGGTCTAGGTCCCGTCGTGGGCCGAGTGTGGCCCAGTTGGACCACGGGCCCGTGAGCATGGCCTGCAGGCCAGAAAAAAAAAAGTGTGTCTGGGCTAAGCCGGCCTAGGTGGGCCCGAGCTGCGAGCCACAGCCTGAGCCGAGCAACTGGGCTGGCGGCTCAAGCTGAGCCAGCTTTGTTAAAAAAAAAAAAAGAAAAAAGAAAAGGGTTTTGACCGAACCGGCCGAGACTTTGACCAGCCGGTTCAATGGCCAATTTGACTTGGAATTTGGTTTTTGGACCAATTCTGGGTTCAAGGGGATGAGGGCTATCAAACCAAGTGGGTTCGGGAATTTTTAGTGGTCGGGTTCGAGGTGAATTGGCCGGTTTATTGTGTTGCCATTCGAGTGACCAGTTCACTGGTTTTCAGGCCGATTCTTGGGGAGTTTGGACTGGTTCCTAGCTCAATATGATAAAACCTAGATAACTGTGAAGAAGTTTGATGATTTTTTGGGTGATCAGTTCAAGGTGAACCGGTCTCAGTTTTCATGCCGATGCTTAGGATTAGGGTTTTCGACCCAGTTCGGAGCTGGTGGTTTAAGGCCTTTTTGGCCGGTTTAGATTGTTCCCAGGGTTTTTGGGCCTTTTGAATCTGATTTTGAGGGTTTCATGGCCATTTTTGAGTTGAGTTGGATGTAGTTTTGAATCAGACTAAGCCGGTCCGAGGGTTTTAGAGGTTGGTTCGTTGCAGTTCGAGGTTTGAGGAGGCTTGGTTCCGTAGTGTTGGGGTGGTTAAGTAGATTTGATCAGTGGTAATGAGTCACGTAGGTTTCGGTGATAGATGTATTTGCCTCGAGATGCGTGCCAAGGATCGATTTGGGATTTAAGTCCGATTTGAGGTTATCGAGCCTGTTTCTTGTGCCGGTTTCGACATTGGTGATGGTTTTGTGTGACTTTGGTTACAGATACACCGGTGGAGGCGCGTCCTAGTCAACGAGTTGAGTGAGGGAGATCGGGAGTTCCTTTTTGTTCAGTCCTTGTACAGTGAGTGATGATACTCTCTCTATGCCTTTGTTTTCATACTGTGATTTTCTGACATGATGATTATGTGGTTTAGAAACTGTATTTTGACTATATTATACTAGGGATATGTTATGTGTTTTATGAACTGTCAGTGAGTTATGTTAGTATGTGATATTTGTTTTGAGATGTGAACTGTATATGCGTATGTATATCTATTTTTGACTATATGTTCGAATGGTATCATGTGATGTGAGGCGGCAAGGGCCGTGGATGTGTCATGCACTAGTGTGATTCTTCCGATCGTCAAGATGGTGGGTTCCTCCGATCGTGAGAAGACGAGACGGGGGTCTCGTGATGTGATGTGTCTGGGATGGCAGGCTCAGCCGACAGACGGTAGACCGTAGCGTACGGGGAGTACCTTGGCCCGGCGATGAGATGAGCTGTGTGGCTAAGGGCTCAGCCGGCGAATGGTGTGCTATCGTAGCGTGCGAGGAGTACACTGACCCAGTGATATGATATGAGGATTGGATATGGGATGGCAGGCTCAACCGATAGATGGTGGACCGTAGCGTACGGGGAATACCTTAGCCCGGCGATGAGATGAGTTATGTGGCTAGGAGCTCATCTGGCGGACGGTGTTCTGCCGTAGCGTGTGGGTAGTACACTAGCCCTGTGATGTGCTGTGATATGGGGACGGCAGGAACTCGGCTGGAGTATGGTGATTCATAGCGCGTCCAGTGGTGAGTTGGCCTGAGTTCAGTGATGTGATTTGGCGACGACAAGAACTCAGATAGTATCACGCCCCGCCCCTGGGCCCGTGACCGGTACTGGGGTCCACCGACCTCAGTAAGCCTCAACAACCCAATCAAGCTCCGAAAATACAAAATATACACCCTAAGCAGTAATGCAACATCTAAGAAAAATCACTCGGGATCCTGTCTGAGAGTACAAAGAAGCTACCAAAGAACAAATACAAAAGAGAAATGCCCGTACATCGATCGAATCCGCCGATAGTCGCTCCGAGAACAGGCACGCTACTCGAGACAGATATATAGCCAAACGAATTTGAAAATGTTTAAAAACTATGAGTCACAAAACTCAGTGAGTACGGATGATACCTAATCTATGCATATCAGGTATATATATCATGCCACAAGTCCAAAACCATACACATACAATGATTAGTAAAACATAATAACATACACTCAAGAATACCAGTAACCAAACATCACATTATAGCACTGGACCCAGGCCAACTCACCACTAGACGCTATGGGTCACCATACTCCAGCTGAGTTCCTGGTATCGCAATCACCTCGCACGACCCAGGCCGACTCATCACTGGACGCTACGGATTACCGCACTCTAGCGAGTTCCTGCCGTCCCCAAACCCATCACTAGACTCAGCCCACTCACCACTGGATGGTACGAATCACCGTACTCCAGCTGAGTTCTTGCCGTCCCTCAAATCACGTCCCATCACATTGCGGCCCCTGCCGCCTCACATCACACATCACATCCGCGGCCTCCACCGCCCGCGCCCCCACCGTCTCACATCACACAACAATCCTCACATATAAGCCAAAAGTAATATACATACGCATATACAGTTCACATCTCAAAACTAGTATCACATGCTAATATAACTCATTGACCGTTCACAAAACACATAACACATCCCGAGTATAACATATAATCGAATATAGTTTTCAAAACCACATAATCATCATGTAAG